GGGACTGCATCAATCTTCTAGTAAAAGCTACCTATGAATCACTTTATCTGGTACTTATAGGCGAAATTAAAGTCCTGCATAAATCAGCAAATTCGTGACTAATTTTAATTTATTTGGCTAATTTTGGCTAGTCTGTGTCAACTAGGTCTCGAAACTCTACTCTAATACGAAAATAGGTGACAACATGTTTGCTTTTTAAGCCTCAGGTTTTGCGTTCGACTTTTCTGTCGATTTTCCCTGGTGGAGTCGAGGATTCAGTGTACTCCGACGAAGAGTGTACTTTCTGGTCGCAAAATTGAATGACATTTTCTGGTAAAATAAAGCCTTAGTTCGTAATGCTCCATTGTTGGGTACCCTCTAAAGCACCAAGCGACTATTCATAAAGCCTCAATTAATGACATCACAGGTGTGAATATCAAGAAGGTATGGCCTATAGTTAGGCCGCAGACCTCATCCGCTCCAATGGTCCTGCTTGCATTGCCACTTCAAAAAGTGTCACCGTCAGTGTTACCAGGTGATCTTCCAGTATTGGACTGTTTATTCGGCACCGTGAATGAGCAGCCTCCGCGTTGGTATCAAACTACAACTTGTCAAAGGGATACGCATTTGGGATAGACATCATCTTTTCGTGACAATGCTGACCACGATCTAATTAGGACTTGCAAAAATGTACCGGAGTAACAATGCGATGTGGAGCATTTGAATGCGATAAAGTGAACAGCATGTTTTTCGAACAAGCTCAAGTCAGCCCAATTTATTGGGTCTAAAAATAAAGCAGTCCTTCCAAGCCAAAACGATTAGTTCATGCTTACTCTTTTATTACTAACTCAGCAAAGGATACGAGTGTCTAATTACATGCAGATAAAGCCCAGTTAAGTTTTCATTTCCACGAGAGTCAAGAAGGAGAGGTCGGGTTAAACCATCACCAAAATGTACCGGAGTAAAAATGCGATGTGGAACATTTGAATGCGATAAAGTGAACGGCATGTTTTTCGAACGAGCTCAAGTCATCCAAATTTATCTGATCTAAAAATAAAGCAGACCTTCCAAACTAATACGATTAGTTCATACTTACTCTCGCAATACTAACTCAGCAAAGGATACGAGTGTCTAATTACTTGCAGATAAAGCCCAGTTAAGTTTTCATTTCCACGAGAGTCAAGAAGGAGAGTTCGGGATAAACCATCGCCAAAATGTACCGGAGTAATAATGCGATGTGGAGCATTTTAATGCGATAAAGTGAACGGCATGTTTTTCGGAAGAGGTCAAGTCAGCCCAATTTTTCGGGTCTAAAAATAAAGCAATCCTTCCAAGCCAATACGATTAGTTCATGCTTACTCTTTTATTACTAACTCAGCAAAGGATACGAGTGCCTAATTACTTGCACATAAAGCCAAGTTAAGTTTTTATTTCCACGAGAGTCAAGAAGAAGATTTCGGTGTTCGAGAGCTGTAGAGTTGAGTCAATTTGTGTCTAAATCAGTCATGCTTTAAGTTGGCCGACCGTTAACATTGGTACAAATATCATCACCATACTGCAGAGGAGTGCCATAGTTACCTGCCATAAGGCCCCAAAGGAAAAGTCAAATTGCCCATCAATCCCAAAGCTCTGAGCCTTAACAACAGCTTATCTCAGCACCAGTCTTGACAGCCGCTCTATCCACTGACTCTTCAGCATCCAAGACCCACCCTCGCTCAGACGTCTGACTCCTTAGAGCTGGAAATTGAGTGGTAATTGACCATTTAACGGTTGCTTAGGCTGGCTGTCTCCTGCCCGGGACAAGCAAAACAGCCGTCAAATCTGTCTTGCTGGCTGTCCGAAAGGGCGCCTATTGAGATAGTAACTGTTCCTCTCGTCCGCCAATCAGAGATGCAAGACGCTGGGGCTTCTTACGATATAGAAGCCGGTTGTCCCATCAACCGGCATGCCCAGACCCCACATCCTTACATGATCGCTTTCGAAAAGTGAGTCAAAGCGAAACAAGTGTTCTTTACCCAGGCATAGGGTAGGGGCTGCACGTGCATAATTTGGTCTTGTCAACAAAAAGCGTCACCACGACAACTGAAGCCTGGTAGCTGAACCCTGTACATGTATGCATGCGTGTCCATGTTAAACACTATTTAGCCATTTAACAGGCGGTAGAT